CCTGGGGGGTTCTACCCCCTCGATTCCAGCGACCTGTGGGGTGAAATTGGGGTGGGGTCAGTGAAATTGGGGTGGAATTTGGGGGGGGCGCTGAAGGATTTGAGGAATTTTGGGGAGATCTTTATGATTTTGGGATTTCGGGATTTTGGGACATGGGAATTTCCAGGACTCAGGGATTTGGGGATTTTGGGATTTTGGGATTTGGGACTCGGGGATTTTAGGACTCAGATTTGGAGACTCAGGGATTTGGGGACACAGGGATTTGGGATTTGGGACTGAGGGATTTGGGACACAGGGATTTCAAGACACAGGGATTTGGGATTTTGGGATTTTGGGATTTCAGACCTGAGGGATTTGGGAATTTGGGATTTGGGACTCAGGGATTTTGGGGATTCAGGGATTTGGGACACAGATATTCCAGGACACAGGGATTTGGGAATTTGGGATTTGGGACACTGGGATTTTGGGGACACAGGGATTTTTGGATTTTGGTATCTGGGACTCAGGGATTTCAGGACTCAGGGATTTGGGGATTTTGGGGTACGGGGATTTTGGGACTCAGGGATTTTGGGGCACAGGGATTTCAAGACACAGGGATTTGGGATTTTGGGATTTGGGGATTTTGGGATTTGGGACTCAGGGATTTCAGGACTCAGGGGTTTGGGGACTCAGGGATTTGGGGACAAAGGGATTTGGGGATTTGGGATTTGGGACACAGGGATTTTGGGATTTCGGGAATTTGGGGACACAGGGATTTGGGGATTTGGGAATTTGGGATTTGGGGACACAGGGATTTTGGGATTTGGGATTTGGGGACACAGGGATTTGGGGATTTGGGGATTTGGGGACACAGGGATTTGGGGATTTGGGATTTGGGGACACGGGGATTTGGGGATTTGGGATTTGGGGATTTTGGGATTTGGGGATTTGGGGATTTGGGGATTTGGGATTTGGGGACACAGGGATTTGGGGATTTGGGGATTTGGGGATTTGGGATTTGGGGATTTGGGATTTGGGGACACAGGGATTTGGGGATTTGGGGATTTGGGGACACAGGGATTTGGGGATTTGGGATTTGGGGATTTGGGGATTTGGGGATTTGGGATTTGGGGACACAGGGATTTGGGGATTTGGGATTTGGGGACACAGGGATTTTGGGGATTTGGGATTTCGGGACACAGGGATTTGGGGATTTGGGATTTGGGACACAGGGATTTGGGGACACAGGGATTTGGGGATTTGGGGATTTGGGGACACAGGGATTTTGGGATTTGGGGATTTGGGGAGCTCACGAGTAGCTGTTGTGCTGCCGGCGCCGGGCCGTGCGCAGCTTCTCGAAGCGCGCCTCCATCTCCTCGAGCACGCGCGGCGTGTAGCGCACCACGAGCTTCACCGAGCCCTGCGCCGCCTTCAGCAGCTCCACGGCGCGCTCGTGCTGCTCCCCCTCCACGCTCTGCGCCCCAAAAACACCCGCCTGCAGCTCAAACCCTGCCCAGAACCCAAAACCTGCCCAAAACCTGCCCAAAACCTGCCCAAAACCCTGCCCGGAACCGGCCCAGGACCCAAAACCCTGCCCGGGACCCAAAACCCTGCCCGAAACCTGTCCAGGACCCAAAATCCTGACCAGAAACCAAAATCCTGCCCAAAATCTGCCCAGAACCTGCCCAGAACACAAAAATCTGCCCGAAATCCTGCCCAGGACCCAAAATCCTGCCCCAAAATCCGGCCCAAAACTTGCCAAGGATCCAAAATCCCACACAAAACCTCCCCAGAACCCAAAATCCTGACCAAAACCTGCCCAGGACCCAAAATCCTGCCCAAAATCTGCCCAAAACCCAAAATCCCACCCAAACCTTCTCAAACCACCCCAAAACCCCAATTTATCCACCCCAAACCCTAATTTATCCACCCCAAAC